GGGGGGGGGGGGGGGGGGGTGTGGGAGAGGTGTGGTGATTTCAACATGATTCGTGTCTTTTGATAGTCGGGAGGGGGGCCTTTTTTTAACCTCTCACTTTCAGAATAACCTGTGTTCCATATTTGGTAATTTGTATCAAAACTGGTTACCAAATGCTTTCTATTGTTGCTTCATATCTATTAGTTTCCTGTACTTTCTTTTTCTCTTAAACTTCCTGGTTTGCTTCAAATATGTGTTTGTGATCATTATAAGTTACAGGGAGAGAAATTGGTTATGGTTGCATGTGGATGGCGGCATACAATATCAGTCTCCTCTTCTGGTGGTTTGTACACATATGGGTGGAGTAAATATGGTCAACTAGGACATGGAGATTTTGCAGACCATCTCATCCCTCATAAGCTGGAAGCTTTGCGTGAAAATGTTATTTCACAGGTGATCTCTTATTCTTCTTGGTCAGATGCTGTTTTATGGAATTTACATCATTTTAGCAATTGAAATGATAGTCCAGAAAACTCAAGTTCTCAATTCCATATCTCCGCTTTCCTTGATACCTATTATTAAGATTGATAAAAGGAAAAAATGAGAGGAGAAAGGGATAGAGAAAGAGATTCTCATTAGTATTTTCTATGTGTGTATTTCATAATTTAAACAGAAAAACTACACAATAGCAGTCTTTTATAGTAGGGCAAAATAGAATAACATGAATGACTAAACTACTCCAAATAATAATATACTAGATTACTCTTAACATTCCCTCAAACTCATGATGTAGTAACATCAAACTTCAGGAGTTTGTCAAGTAGAAAATGAAGTACGTGATTTAGAAATGCCAAGGTCAGTAAACAGCCAGCATAACCAAATTATCTTTTTTGTGGTAGATGGCATAACACTATACTCAACTTTAGTAGAGGAACGGACAACAACAGTTTGCTTCTTGCTTTTTTAGGAAATAAGAGAATTGCTAGGAAATAGGCAAAAATTAGTGATAGAGTTGTGATCTATAGAGTCACCAACTTAGTCCGCATCAAAATAAGCCTTGTGTTCTGTTATAGAAAATGTGTATATAATTAGATTATACTATACCAATGTCATTTGTTCTTCTTGGCATTTGTTATTTTGGCAAAAATCTTTTTGGTTCTTAAAAAGAAATAGTTCCAGAAGGTTCAATTGTCCAAAATGAATTTATAGATTCACGGATATATTGACATCAAACTCGTAAAAAGAATCAAATTCTTTTTGACGATTTCTGCAATCTTTCCCATAGTCAGAAATGCTATTTCATCCTATTATGGCTACACATTTCGATCCTTTAGTGAAAGCGACTGTCTCATATCTTGCTGTTCCTTCTGGGCATCTTCGATGAGTTGGATTAGAGCTTTTCCTTAGCTATGTCCCTTCATGGAAAAATAGAATAGAAAATAAGCAAAATTAGTGTACTCACATTGACGTAGAACAACATGAATAATAAAATCCAGAAAATTAGAAATCCAAAAATCCAATAATAAAAACAATAATCCGAGCCCTGTGTAATCACAGTTTCCTTAAGAAAGATTTGCTCTCGCTCGGTGCTTAACGTTGTTAATCAACTGTCTCCTAAGATAGAACAAATTTCATTTTTGAAGATGCAGCACTTCAATCTCCAAGACTGCAACGAACATAATTCTGTGTTTATATTTGAACTGAATTTGAAATAATAATGCAGTAATATACACGGAGAGAGTAATACATAATTCTATGTTTATATTCTTGATTTGTTCAATTATGTATTTTGGGAGTGCAAGGAATCACCTATTTATAGACTCACTAGTGACTTTTCATAAAGGGTGTAACTATATGTAATGGTACCCTTTAGTTCAAAGGGTATCAATAGTGACTTTATAAAAAGGTACAATTGCAATTTTTAAATAAATATATCATTATTTCCAACAATTCCCCCACATGAATGAAAATTCAATGTATGATAATGTAGACGCTAGTTCAAGTGCATGTGAAAGGTTATTGCATCTGGATAAGTAGCCAGTAGCCTTGAACTTTCCGTAGTGACAAACTCTCGGATTTACTTGGCTATCCAATGGACATGATGTCTTTGAACAGTCAGTTATTTGTATAAACTAAGACAATAGAATTCACATAGTTTTCCTTTGGACACAGTTGGTTTTCACGTTTGTTTTCATTTTGGCCTTGAACACCATTTGATTTCATGAATAATTTTAGAGTAATCAGCCTACGATTCTCATAGAAGCGGCCCCTTCTTTACTCACAAAGGTGATTTTTGATTAAGATTATCTCACTATACCCCATGTGGACATTTCTAAGTTACTGAATATCATTAAAAGCGTAACTTACCCTAATTCTTGCGGTAGATGTGCACTGTCTCATCAAAGGAATGAGAAAGAGTTTAGAAAATCTCCTTAGTGCGTATTGAGTTATACATAATTTAGTTGCCCCTTTGAACTTAGATTTTAGGATCTGCAGTCAGCTATGTGGGATTGACATTATGGTGGCTCTTGGTTAAGTAATAGGCTTTAAGCCCATTTTAATGAACTTTCCACTTGCTCTCTAGTAAAACCTTTTGAAAGTGGATCCGGAATATTATCATTTGACTTAATATAGTCAATGAATATAATACCATTAGAGAGCAATTGTCTAACGGTATTGTGTCTACACTTATCGTTATATTTAGAATTTTGTGCCGTTCCAATCGTAGATTGATTATTGCAGTGAATGCATATTGCAGGCACAGACNCATGAACTTTCCACTTGCTCTCTAGTAAAACCTTTTGAAAGTGGATCCGCAATATTATCATTTGACTTAATATAATCAATGAATATAATACCATTAGAGAGCAATTGTCTAACGGTATTGTGTCTACACTTATCGTTATATTTAGAATTCTGTGCCGTTCCAATCGTAGATTGATTATTGCAGTGAATGCATATTGCAGGCACAGACTTTGGCAAATTTGGAATATCTTCTAAGAAGTTACGAAGCCATTATGTTTCTTCTCTAGCTTTATCTAAGGCAATGAATTTAGATTCTATTGTAGATCTAGCAAAATAAGTTTGCTTTGAGAATTTTCAAGAAACAGCTGCATTACTCAAGGTAAAGACATATCCACTCGTGAATTTTGAATCTTTAGTATCTGATATNACGAAGCCATTATGTTTCTTCTCTAGCTTTATCTAAGGCAATGAATTTAGATTCTATTGTAGATCTAGCAAAAAAAGTTTGCTTTGAGAATTTTCAAGAAACAGCTGAATTACTCAAGGTAAAGACATATCCACTCGTGAATTTTGAATCTTTAGTATCTGATATCCAATTAGCATTGGTATATCTCTCGAGTACTGATGAGTACTTCGTGTAGTGCAAACCGTAGTTTTGAGTATGTTTTAAATATCCTAAAACTCTAATAATTACTTTTTAGTGGTCTTTTTCGGGATTTCTTGTATATCAACTTAGTTTACTCAATGAATATGCAAGTTGGAAAGTTCTTGCGGATTGTATTATTGATTTTTACTATTTTTGGTTTTTGTATTGTTTGCCTTTTTTGATGAAGGTTGGCAACCAATAGTAATGAGTCAGAACAATGTTCACCAACTCTTCTATAGGTGTGACGCCCCATAATCTGGGGGTCTTTTGTTAACCTGTAGACCACCCATTATTCCACGGAAATACCTGTGAGTGCTGTATAATCCGATACCATGTCGTTACACTCCATTCATCGGGATCATAACCAAAACAAAATTTGAGTAGAGTCTCCTTTGTACGGGAGCTCTACCTAATACGTAACCTATGCATATAATAATCATACAACAATTCCAAGGTCCACATCCCAAAGTATAAGCTTAAAATTTAATTATTTACATCATCCCAAGAAAATAGTTCAAGATGTGAAGGTTTGACAATGTTTCATTTAAGATTTTAATTTTTTTAAAAAGGTACCGATACCTCGGGTATGTGGTATTGGTACCGGAACTCTATGNTCAAGAAAATAGTTCAAGATGTGAAGGTTTGACAATGTTTCATTTAAGATTTTATTTTTTTTAAAAAGGTACCGATACCTCGGGTATGTGGTATTGGTACCGGAACTCTATGGTTTTTCAGGTATTGGTACTGGTACCTATAAGTCGTGGTACCGGTACCTGTGAGCCCAGGTATTGGTACCTATGTTCGCCGTCTTCGGGGACCGGTACTTGTTAGCTTAGGTATCTGTACCTGAGCTCTCTGGATGCCATGTACCTATGAGGTACCGGTACTTAGAGTTCAAATTTTTCCAAATATCTCAAAAATTCAACTTTTAGCCATATACTTATAAAACACCCATTCCATGCATTTGTCTTACAAAAGAACAATGTCAAAGAGTGTCCCATTACATGTCTTTGTCAAAATATAAGTTTTCTACATGATTTATACAAGNTGTACCTGAGCTCTCTGGATGCCATGTACCTATGAGGTACCGGTACTTAAAGTTCAAATTTTCCCAAATATCTCAAAAATTCAACTTTTAGCCATATACTTATAAAACACCCATTCCATGCATTTGTCTTACAAAAGAACAATGTCAAAGAGTGTCCCATTACATGTCTTTGTCAAAATATAAGTTTTCTACATGATTTATACAAGGCCAAAACAAAATACATAAATGATTACACAAAATGTAATTTAAGAGCCACAATCCGGCTCCATCATCAACATGGGCCCAAGTGAGGGCCATCTGTTGAAACTTGTCCAACACCTGAAATGTGTCCCTATAAAAGGTGAGCCACGCTCAATAGGGTGTCTCCTAAGCAGGTTACTCCCTAATCCAGATGCATATAAAATGTCACATACAAGTTATCACATCAAGTATCCAGTCAAATACATACGTGTCATGAATAAATGCCCAAAATTTCATGCCATGTCATGAGATGGAATTCACGCATGCAATGCAAATCCGAGCCCTTCATCGGCTCCCATAACATGTCATGTCATGCGCATGCATCCAGGCATTCCAAGCCCTAGTCATTAATGTAGACATCCAATGACCATTTTATAAAATTTTGTGTCTTTCTTGGGGTAGGTATTTTTGGACTTTCACCAATGGCCACCCAACTGACACAACATCTATAGACTTCCACCAACGGTTCTGTGACATCCATAAATCCGGGGGTCCTTTCTCAATCCGTTGATCATCCATCAACATGTGGAAGTACCCGTGTATGCCGTATAACTCGACACCACGTCATCACATCTCCTTTACCTTAATCGTAACCACTATATAGTTTGNCTGACACAACATCTATAGACTTCCACCAACGGTTCTGTGACATCCATAAATCCGGGGGTCCTTTCTCAATTCGTTGATCATCCATCAACATGTGGAAGTACCCGTGTATGCCGTATAACTCGACACCACGTCATCACATCTCCTTTACCTTAATCGTAACCACTATATAGTTTGAGCAGAGCCTCCTTTGTACCAGAGCACTCCCAAATGCACAATCTATGCACAGAC